AGTACCTGAGAGTCACAGTTAGAAGGGATTTATAACATCAACGTGCTAAGGAACTGCTGGATATAACTGATACTTGAGACATTCAGGGCAAAGAGATATAAAGTAACTGACATCTATGCCAGGTCATCTTACATTTCATGAATTATCCTTTTATAAACTCCTAGTTTAAATTTACTCAAGGCTTTAGGTATGACAATAAATATATGGATCCAAAAAGCTTATTCAGTTAAAGTCTATGATACTCACCAAATTTTATAAAGAGGTCTAACAGTACATAAGAGAATGGTACTTTCTCATTTACTTACTATTGTAAGACCTAATTCTTGCCAATGGGGTAGGTGTAAAATGGTATTTTATTGTGGCTTTTACATTTTCCAGATTGAGTGAACATATTTCCATGCTTAGTCATTCTTGTCTTTTCTGTGAAATACTTCTTGATGTCCTTTGTCCATTTTTGTAGCTTTGAAATTTACTTGAGTTTTTCAGTAGTATACTAATATTTCCATTTATTTTTATTGCACATACCTTCATCCAATTTGTGGCTTGTATTTTTAATTGTTTTGGTAGAGAAAACTTAATTTTAACATACTCAAATGTAGTTCTTTCTGTGTCTTAAGAAAAATTCTTTTTTTTAAATTAGTTTCAGGTGTACAAAACAACATAATGATTAGACATTTATATACCTCACAAATGATAACCCCAATAAGTCTATTACCCATCTGACACTATAGTTATTATAATATTACTATATTCCCTATGCTATACTTTATATACCTGTGACTATTTTTTTTAATTGTGGCTGATATTCAATATTATTTTATATTAGTTTGAGGTGTATAGCTTAGTGGTTAGACATTTGCATAATTTATGAGGTGATCCCCCCATAAGTTTAATACCCATCTGACACTATAGTTTTTATAATATTATTGACTGTATCCTCATACTGTATTTTACATCCACTGACTATTTTGTAACTACCAATTTGTACTTCTACATCCCTTTATCTTTCTAACCCTGGCCCCAAACCCCTCTCCCATCTAGAAACCATCAGTTTGTTCTCCGTATCTATGAGTCTGTTTCTGTTTTGTTCACTTATTTTGCTCTTTAGCTTCCACATATAAGTGAGATCATATGGTATTTGTCTTTCTCAGTCTGACTTATTTCACTTAACAAAATACCTTCTCTCTCCATATTGTCACAAATGGTAAGATTTCATTCTTTTTTATGGCAGAGTAATATTCCATTGGATATATGTATCACCTCTTGTTTATCCAGTCCTCTATTGATGGGCACTTTAGTTGTTTCCATATCTTGGCTATAGTGAATAGTGCTGCAGTGAACATAGGGGTGCATGTATTTTTCTGAATTTTTGTTTTGGATTTAAATACCCAGGAGTGGAATTGCTGGGTCATAAGGCAGTTTTATTTTTAATTTTTTGAGGAACTTCCATACACCTGAAATTAATTTGTGAATGTCTGAGACAGGAAAAATTTAATTTTTTTTTTACCATGTAGATAACCAATCTTCACATTGGTTTAGTGACTAAATTCATCCTTCCCTCAGGGACTTTATCTACATGGCCAATTCCCATGTAAGCATACATCTATTTTGGGACTTTCTGTTTTGTTAAATTGGTTCTATTCAGGTTGTCTAATCAAGGCGAAATGACACGTTGTTCTAGTTGCTTTAACTAGATTAAAGGTCTTAATGCCTGGTAGAGCAAGTGTTTCTTCCTTATTTTTCTTAATCAGTGTTCTCGGTCTTTTGATTTTTCATTAAATATTAGAATCAGTTTGTAAAATTTTGGGGGTGGGGGAACTGCAGGAGATTTTCTAAAAAACAATAGAGTCACATTAATTAGGGAGTATTGATAGCTCTACCATTTTGAATCTTCCTAGGTTTTGCTACTTTTATCGGGACAAGGAAGTTACTTTCTATTTCCTGTTTGCTAAGCTTTAATTATAGGGGTTGAATTTTATAAAACACTTTTATCTCGAGGTAAACATGTTTTTTCTACTTTAATCTGGTAATGTGAATTACATTTACATCTGAAAATATCCTTATTTTACTGTCATTCTTTTTTATACATCTTTCAGCTTTATTAAAGTATAAATGACAAAATTATATATAAATCATACAATTGATGATTTGATGTATGACTGCTTTGTGAAATCAGGTTAATTAACACATCCTTCTCCTCCGTTACCTTTGTGTAGTGAGAATCCTTCGTTTACTCTCAGCAAATTCAAGTACATGGCACTTACTGTTATTCTTGACAGTTTTACTAGATACAATTCTAGTTAGTTTTCTCTCAATATTTTGAAGTTATTATTCCACTGTCATGGTTTCCTTTGTACTTCAAGTCAGCTGCTATGTAATTATCTGTCTTTCCTGTGGGATCTCCTATTTCTGTCACTTGTAGTTTCACTATAAGGCCATCTAGACACGTCTTTGTATTTGTCCTGCTAGTATACATTGTAATTCTTACATTGTGATGTATATCTTTCTGCTCTGAAAAATATACCATGGACTCTTTGAATATACGTACTTCTCTTTTTCAGGGACTTTATCTCCTATTTACAGAGAACTGAAGTGAAATTTAGTAATCTGCTGTTAAATCATGCATTTTTAATGTATCATGTTTTTCATTCTTTTAGATAAACTTGGTCAGTTTAATGGCTTTTTATTCTTTTTTGTATCTTTTTCTTTCTTCGGGCATTTTCATACATCCTGTGGTTGATAAATCCAGTATCTGAAGTCTTGGAGGTCTAAATCTATTTTTTGTCTCTGGATTTTTCCTTACAGTGCTATTCTTCCCTGTGTTTCATGATTTTATTTTGTAAACGCATGCTTAGTTCAACCTGTGGGAATGCAGAGGTTCTAAATTGGCCATGTTCTCTGTACGTGCTTCTCCAGGCCAGGAACTGCCCGACATTTGCTCTCCTGTTCTAATTCAGGGAGCTCGGGCTCGGCTCCTCCCCCTACGGTGGGTCCAGTGCTTAGTCTCCTAATGCCAGCACTGGTAATGGCATTGGTCCTCAGAGAAACCCCGGCTTTTCTGTTTACTTACTACTCCTGCTCCCGGTCCAGCTTATAGATTGGCTTTGGAGGTTTCCCTGCTTTCCTGAGAATCCAGTAAACCACTTAAAAAGTATGTTCTTGATGATGTATCTGAGAACTAGTAGTAATGAGACAGCCTTCCAGGTTATCTAGTCTTTCATAACCTCCACAAAGCAGAACACTGCCACTATCATTTTACAGCCAACCTTTCTAATGGCAATCAGTGGTTGCCTGAGGCAGGTGTAGGGAGTGGGTGAAATGGGCAAAGTTAGTCAAAAGGTATAAATTTCCAGTTATAAATAAGTCCTGGGGATGTTATGTACAGCACAGTGACTATAGTTACTAATACTGTATTATATTTCTGAAAGTTGCTGAGAGATCTTAAAGTTTCTCATCGATGGGTGATGATGGATGTTAACTAGGCTTACTGTGGTGATCATGTCACAACATACACATATATCGAATCACGCTGTACACCTGAAACTAGTATATGTCAATTATATCTCAATAAAAGGAAAGACGTGACAAAAAAATACAGTGACCAGAAATACTTTTATAATGCTAACAGGAGACTGTGAAAAAGAAAATCATCTTCCCTTAAGTGTATATATACTACGTTGTGAAAACAGAGGTATGGCTGGTTAGGTGGAACAGTGGAATTTTTCAGTCACAAAGAACTGGTCCACCACTGATTATGTGTGGATTTCAGACAAGTTACTTTAATGTCTTTGAATCTAGTTTTTAACTGTAAAATGCAGAATTATTGTAGAGATTCAAATATTATAAAGTGACTGGTACAGACTACACATTTAAAAAATTGTACTTATTTCATATTCTCCATGACTACTACCCAAATTTAAGAAACCCCTTATATTGTAAAGAGTTTGTTCAGGTAGACTGAATTTAGCCTCAACTATTAAGATAATGGAAGAGCCTCAACTATTAAGATAATGGAAGAGTGATTTGTTAAAACAATAAAAACCACCAATATTTTTTATTTCAAATAAGGTTTCCCCTCAAAGAAGCTCTATACTTCTTTCACTTAAGTTACTACTGCTCAGGGTTCTTTTAGAAATCTTCCCTTGGAAGACTTTTTTCTAGTGTAGAAAAACCTTAATTCTTTGAGCATAGATTTCACGTGTGATAGTCATAAAATGTTTTGAATCAAGTCTGATGAATAAAGTATTATACACAGGGCCAATAATCAAGTTAAGACCCTGCTCAAAATTAACATAAGATGGACAATCATGACACCAATTCTCTTGGATGACTTACAAATAGACTCTTCAAGCTATTTTTAAAGAGGAGTTTCAAAAAAGTTTTTAGCAGTGGCAAAATTGCTAAAAATGACCCAAATTACAGTTTCACAGGGTTACTACTTGGAAGGACAACATTCTATCTTAATGCATAAAGACTCTACTTTCTATGTAGTACAAGTCTGCAATTGCTGAAGAGACAATTGCTTAATCAGTCACTAAGATTAGTGCAACTACTGATGTCAATTGCCTTTAACTTCTGTAAGGGTAATGAAAATCTTTTTACTTTAAGTTAAACAGAAAGATCTTTTTTATGAGAAAAATATTACAGCCAACCTACTAAATCTATAAGATTCTATAAAAGCAATAAAACACTGATAGGAACCCACCTCTTTGATCGCCATACTTGGGAGCATATATGATAATTTATTGTTTAGATTTGAGGGAGTATTACTATACAAATTTATATGATTTTAAGAAAATATTATATTGAAGTTTTATTGCCACTGGAACTCCACATAAAGGGAAAAAGAGAGCCAATGACAGTCCAATAATAATTTCTTTAGATGTTTGATATGAGAAACCATAGAAAACATTCTTAACTGATAAGACATGATTTAGATTCTAAATGCATTCTGTATCACATAACATGTGGAGACAAAAAGGAACAAAAAAATTCTCACGTTTACCATTTGCAAGAGTAGTTTATACAACTTCAACAATCTAGGCATTTAACAGCATTTTAAGTTCAAAATACATTTGTGAATTAATGAATAATACTCCTTAGAGGGAATATAAAGTTTATTCAAACATTTAAAAAATGACCAATGAGTTACACAGAATAGGTGATATTAATCAAAAACAATATCAAGTAATTTGTTTTTAAAGTGGCAGTGCAATATAGTAAAGCAGTGACTTTAATGACAATATGGAAGAATTACACAAAAGCACCTAAAATATCTTGAAGAAATATGCAAATTTTCACCTTTTACTTTTTCCATTTACAACTTCAAAATTTTAGCTCTATTTTATATCACTTTTTGGTAGGCACTATTAACATCTGAGATTAAAGGAACAGGCCTCACAAGAAGCCACCTTCTTTGACTATTTCATCTCTTTATACCTATGCATACAATCATCTTTCAAATGCATGATTCCTTCAGTCTGATTCTCATTTCATACCTCAAATAGTGTGTGTTTAATAGTGACTGCGCATATCAATTCTGCAATTTATCTTTTCAGGTCCTTCAAGGCTATGCTTCTCACTGCCCATACATAATGTAACAGTCACATGTTCCATTTGCTTCACTTCTCTCATGAGTAGTTCATATTTGGGGTAGCTAGGGTACCAACTTAGTATGTTAGAGGACCACTGTATAACGAAAATCAAAAATGAAAATGTAACATCTTTATGCTCCTAAACTCTATACAGATGACCAAGACAGAACTACGTCAAAGAAAAAAACATTTTGAATCATTTTCAAGACAATAAAAAATCCCCTTCACCGTAAAAATAAATATAAGAAATATACGAGTCATCATGACTAGACAAGCGCTGTAATACAAGAATTCCATTAGATATAAGCCGTACACAGCTGAAGCCAGGTTCTGAGTCTTATTCTCTACATCCAACCAGTTGTAGCCAGTCTAGTAAGTGATATAGAAATAAATGCTTTTGGGATTGATGGAAATATAGTTATCATACAAGAGAACATTGCTTCAAATCTAGCAATGACATATGAACTTGCCCACAGGCTGACAGCAAAAAGTGGCATAATTGGGGAATTTTTAAATCTGCTTCATGAAAGACCTTGATCTGCTAGCCTGACTGGGCCCTCTTACATTTTCTTTTTCTTTTTACGGGTCTAATATACCCACTAGGCACTGGCTTTCGTAATGTGGCTTTTTGCCCTACTGCACTGACAAGCCCAGATTGCCATTTAAAGAGGACCATCAGAGCTACTAGGCAATGAACTTCAGGGAAGGCTGGATGGATGGGGTTAAAGTTCTTCACTGCCTAGCTTCCTTGTAAACCAGATGACCAACCAGCAGTGAAGTACACTAAATTCTAAGGCATGACTAAAGGAAAATTTAGGAAGGCCTGGGAGAGAGGTTCCAAGCTGCATTGCAAATATGAAATAGACTATTTTAATATTCTTCATAAATATTTATAAAAATATATACATATAATGAACAGACCATTTTATAATGCTGGTTAAAACCACGAAGAGCTGTTAAATCAGTAGTATATCAATATCCTGGCTTCAAATTAATGTATAGAAATATTTTCAATTAAAGTTCAATAAATATACCAAAGGGGATTAAATAAAACAGGAAAAATAGCAGTTTCAATCGTTCTCTATTTTTACCAGCAATATATTTTACTGGTAATGGACTTGAACTAATCAAACTACAGTCTGTAAAGGGATTTTGTAAAAATGCATTCATTTTCTGATGATGAATTAATCCAGATTCTGTACAGTTAAAAAACCCAGGATGGTGGCAAATAGCAAAATAGGAAGATAATAAATCTTGGGTTCAAAATCAAATGATTAAATCAAAGAAGGATGTTAAACTTATTTTCAGATTCCCCTCATTAGGGAGTCGAGGGAGCCATGTAATCAGTACCATTCCTTCTCAAGGGCTCCTGACCAGATTAACATCAACTCTAAAGCCCTCCTGTAGTATTTCCCTGGTTAAGTTTTGCTTATTACAAAAAATATATATATATTTTTGCATGGGGTGAAAAAATAAAAGTGCACATGTGTTCAGATGGAATTAGTTCAGCTAGGTCTTTTGGTGTTCTAACAATTCAAACTGGAATTAAGATCTTACGACACTCCTGTAAGCTTGTGAAAATACAGCCAGTGGCACTCAGAAAGATGAAACATTTTTTTTCCTATTTCTGTAACTAAGAAATTGAAAAACCAAAACCTGGAAAAAAAGCAAGGTATAAATTCATCAGCACCACGTAGAAAAGCTCTTCAAAAGGAGTAGGTCTCTTTCATGTATTCTGATATCCTTGTGTGATGATTAGGTTCTAATCTTCCCTCTAGAAAAAATCCACTGCCTGAGGTTAACACCGTTAGGCAACAGGAAAGATAAAACTCAGCAAATAACTCCACTTTATATCTTGATTCATCCACATGTGTTTTAAAGGGATTTCAGGATTTTGGCACTACTTTAAGCATTTTTCTGAAGAGGTATGGCTTCAGGTTAGAATGTATGTCTTCCTTTCCTACTCAAGTATTTGCGAAAGTGGGAAGTATCAAATTTAACTTTATTACCAATAATTCTTTAGCTACCATTCCAAAAGTTGCACTTAGTCACAATACAACAGTTTACATTTAAATAAGACTAGTAAGTAGTTAAAACTGTTCAAAAATGGTCATACAAAATCCTGGTTGTCTCGCTTGCCTATCAGATTGTCTCTCTTGCCTATCAGATATGACTCAATTGTTGGTGGCAGGAACTCAAATCACATACAGTCAACCACATTACTGGACCCATGACCCACATCTCGAATTTGGCTAGTTAAACAGGCACACACAGCTACACCTGCTCCAGCTCTGCAGTGAGACACAGATCCAACAAGCTCCCACCTGCAAAGATGGAGAAAGAGTGTTATCTTAAAACAAGGCATGATTTACTTTACTCAAAATACCTATCAAGACAAAAACTCCCTATTATGTGACTGGTTTTGAAAGACAGCTAGGGGGAAGGTTAAGATATCCCAAATGTTCTATACTAACTATACAATACATCTGGCAGCTTTTTAGCACTCTGGAGTAAGCCGTTGCTGGAAGATCCCATTAAAACATAGAGAAAATATAAAAATTACCTATTCAGCACTGGATCAAACGCTTCTACTGTATTTAAGTAGGCATTGCCATTGTGACCACCAACTGCAAAGATTTTGCCCATCACTGTTGCGATCCCCACTCCACCCCTGGGAGTGGTAAGTGACGCCACATAATCCCACTTGTTGCTTCGAGGGTCATACCGCTCAACCGAACTCAGAGGAGAATTATCATCAAAGCCACCTAGATCAAGAAAGATTTTTGAAAAGCATTACTTTCATAGATATTAACTACTAAAACTCAATTCAATAGATCAATTACAAACCCAATCTTTTAAAACCATTTGAGAAAATAGACACAATCAGGAAAAAAAAAATCATCTCAACACCTTTTACCACTACCAACTCCTATTAGACATTTTCTTCAATTCAAGACAACTGAAATAGTATTTTTCCTCAATACTAGGATTAAACATCTTAAAGTGGGGAAATCTAGAATGCCAGTATCTAAACAGATAAGAGAAAAAAAACAGGCATTCATATAATTTTTCCTTAGCTTCTTATAGGCAAGAAAAACAGCACTCATTTAGATATAAGTTTTCCAACCACTTCCCTTAAAACTATAATTGCATCATAATTATAAAGACGGTGGTAGACTGTGACTGAATTCTTACCAATTTTTGCCAAAACTACATCTTCATGCTACATACTCTGATGACAATCCTCTCTATAGACCATTCTAACAGTGTTACTTATTCCTGAGGGTTAAACATAGACTGTTATTTAACAGTGCTCTTTCCTTTAAAAATAAATGTGTCTCTTTTAGGCTCCATCTCAGTCTACATGAGTGATAGTTCTCTTTGGTGACTAAGCCTATTTTCCTGAGAACAGGAAGTGTCTATTTAGAAACAAGGTCAGTAAAAACAATCAACGGAGTCAACTTCTCTAATGCGTTTAGATTTATTTAGTCAACTTAAATGAGATAAAATTCACCAATTTTATGTGCAAAACTTGATGAATTTTAACAAATGTATACAGTAGTGTCATAATCACAGCCATGATCTAAAACATTTGTTTCATTATAACAAAGGGTTTAGTTTTAATTATTGATCATGCTAATGTAGAAGATAAAGGTTTTTTTTTTTAGCTGAGCCATCCTGCCACCTGTTGGCAGCTCAGCGGCAGCTCAGCTCGGGCCGGGCATCAAACCGCTGTTGCTCAGAGCTCGCACTCTTGAGTGAGCCCTTAACCAACTGAGCCACTCGGCCGGCCCCCAGAAGATTAAGTTTTTAATAGTTACATTTTCCATAGCCTTCTTTTCCACTGGCTCCCTATCACTTCCCTAGATAATGCATATAAATTTATAATAAAGAATTCAAAGCAGAGGACTAGAAAAGGCAGGACACAATTCACTTGTGAGATAGGTACAACTGATTTGAATGAGAAAAGGTGACTTTGTGCACATGTTTTAAGTAAGATTTGAATGACCAAAAGGTGTTTTTTTTTAAATGTTCAACCTGAGTCAGTCTTATTTTTAGCATAGCTGTTCTAACTATAAAGGCCCAGAAGATTTAACAAGTAACAGCAACAATGATACGCCTACCAACATACAACATGTCAATACCTATGCGAGATGGGGAGCTGCGAGAGGCAGCAACAGTGTCCCATAAACTCTGGTTTCTCATAGACCCGAGTTCAAATTCCAGCTTTGTCCCTTGTTTAGGTATGTGACTATGAGTAACTTATTCACTCTCTCTGAGTCTCTGACTACTTCACAGAACTGCTGTGATGCAAAAGATCTACAGGTAAATTATGTTATTTCTCTTCTTCTTTAATACACATGAGCACTGGAAGATTCAGCATTACTTCTGTTACCTGCAGGTATTTAAACGCTAACAGTGTCCCACTCTCTTAGCAAAAACTCTTAAGTTATGTAACACCAAACAATTTACACCAACCTAAGTAAGTGTGACACGTGCTAGTGAGAACTTCTCTAAACTCATTTCCTCCTCTGCAAAGGAAGGGATTACTAATCACAATACAGCTACCCGTTTGTTGGGTAACTGCAAAGTGCCAGACAGTTTGAGATGCTTAACATATATTACCTCTAATTCTTAAAACAATTCTGAAAGACAGGTGTTATTATTCCCATCGCATAGTCTTTAAAAGCCTTCCTATTATTGGAAGTGTGTTGAGTAGACCAAAAGGAGCACTGATTATCACTTGGGAGCTGTCGGAAATACACGATCTAAGCCTCCCTTGCAGTTTAACAATGTCTCCATATTAGTCATATGCATTACTAGTTTGAGAAAACATTGCTCTGTGGTTCCTTCCAACTCTGCAGTTCAGTAAGTCAAAAAAGCAATACAAAGATGCCAACACCCATTATGCATATGAAATACCTATTGGTTTACTTAAAGTAGTCAACATAATTCCTCTGAAATGAGATGAGAAAAACATGTCTTAAATCTTTAAAGATTTTGGCAAAGCATATTCAATTTGTGTCCTTACATTAAAAAAGTATATATCTTATTTCAATGTAATCCCTTACTTTAGATATACTTGCTACTCCTCGTAAAAATATGGAGGTAGAAGTTTTAAACATGAAAGAGGAAGATGTAAACAAAACATGAATATGAACCCTAAAAATTCAAAAGCAAATCTCAGGACTGATGCCACTTGAATTGAAATGCAGTATAATTTGCAATGCTGTGTTGTTCATAACATTGTCATCATACATCCTATAATAAATTAGACCAGAGAAATACCATCCACTCACCAACAACATATAAACAACCATGGAGCTCACTAACTCCATTGCCTGCTCTTCGTTGACCCATTTCTTTAACTTCTATCCACTTATCCAGATGTGGATCATACCTCTCCACACTAGATAAAGAAGCTACTCCATCATTGCCACCTACTGCATAAACATGGTTCTAAATAAAAAGAAAATAAAAACACATTAGATTTCGAACTCATTTATATATTGTCCTAATGGTAGATCAGAATGTGAAAGCAGTATTTCATGAAATAATATGGTGTGTAATCAATATCTGCATACAATATGAATATACCAGATCTTTCCTTATTTGGTTAGGGATGTGATGCATTGCCAATGCAACGAGCAAGCCAACATATAACTTACTACTAGAGCCACTGAGCCAACTCCTCCACGGGGAGTATTCATTGGTGCCACTGTACTCCACTGGTCAGATTCTATGTCATATCTCTCCACATCATTGAAGCAAGTGTTGTCATCTAACCCTCCAATTGCGTAAATTGGGCCTCCTAAAGAAGCCAAGGCAATTCCTCGCCTGCAAAGATAATAAAACACACTTTAGCATTTCGTATTGTTTCCGCAAAAAACTGTGCTAATCAAGTCATTCATCATGTTAAACCTCAATGTGTCGCCCCCCCCCTTTTTAGATTTATCAAAGCTTCTGAATAGATGGCTACAGGGTTGCAAAATCATGCAAGTCTATGTGAACGGTGCCCCCTGCAGTTTTATAATACACAGACGACACAGGATACTTTAAACTCAAATAATAAAAGTAAAACCCAACAAACTATAAATGGAGTCCAAAACATTCAATCAGTAAAACACGAGGTTGATAACCTGACAGGTGGTTTGCTATGGAGCTCAGAAGGCAGTCGCATTTCTAAATTCATGTAATTGCAGAGCATGTTTTGTTGCAGGGTTTCATTATTCCACACAAAAGAATGTCAATTTTTATATTAGAAGCTTTTTATCACATTGCTTTCCTGCTGAAGGGCATTTGTTTCTCTTCTTGGAATGGGAGAGACTTAGCCTATTTTAAAAGCTAATTCACTGTAATGGTGATCAGAAAAAAAATTGTTATCAGTTTCTTAGAAAACACTGCAGCAATCAAAAGCTGAACTATTCTAAAACTATTACCTGTCACTGACTTGGTATGTACTTTGGATAAGAGTATTTTATGAACCTCTACTACCTTGCTTCTTCATCTGTACCCCATGTGAGAAAGGAGTAGACACAGCTGATACTAATGAATTAATACGGTCCAGCACTAAGAACAGTGACTGGCCCATATTTAGTGCTATGTATTAGCCATTATTACTACTAGAGAGAGCAGCTGCTCTACTGAGATGCTAACTCTAAGTTTACCAAAACAGTATCCTAGGAAAGCGTTCTTAGGGACAATGTCATTTTCGGTCACCTTAACCTCTTTCCTCCTGAGTATAAAGCAATGACTTACAAAATACTGTGGTTATAAAAATTTGCAAGTGTGTGTGAACACTCTAGAACAGGGGTCGGCAAACTGCGGCTCACGAGCCACATGCAGCTTTTTGGGTACGTACATGTGTGAATTTTTCTTATCTTAATAAAGATATAATTAATACTTTTATTATAATATTACTTTAAATTTTCCTTATTTGTAAAAATATATTGATGGCTCTTGAATAATTTTTAAATTGTTGTGAGGGGCAGGATTGGCTCTTCCATCTCAAAAGTTTGCCGACCCCTGCTCTAGACTCTAAGTGTGTTACATTATGGCAGAAATAAGCGTGCCTAATAATTCTCCCTCCCCCTTCACGCCCCAAAACGTAAGAGTATATGACATTATTGGCTATTTCCTGCTCCTCAAAACTCGTCTCTTGGTTTTCATGACATGGCACGTTGGAGTCCCCTCCTACATCTCTGGCTGTGCTTTCCAGCTTCCTGTATCAGAGCCGCCTTTTTCTATCGCATCGTTAACTTACGGCGTTCCCTAAACGCCCTTACCACCCTCTACTTTCTCTCTCTGTAGGAACCTCATTCTTTCCATGAATTTATGATAACTCTGATGTGGATTTCCAGACATATATCCAGCTTCTACCTCAAATCTGTCCTGCTGGCTCTTTAACTTTGAAATGAAACTCACTGTCTACCACCCTGTGGTAGGCAGAATTTAAGATGTCCCTGCCAGGATATCCACCCTCTAGTTTTACTCCTGTGCTTATGATATGCTACATTATATAGCAAAGGGAGATTACCTGAATGGGCCTAATCTAATCACATAAGCCCCTATAAAAGCAGAGAGGTTTATCAGCTGGTAGCAGAAGACAGGTCAGAAACTCGGAGAATGAGGTGGATTCTGGATGCTGCTGCTTATTTAACAATAGAGGGGAACACACAGACAGGGCCTGAGAGGGGCCTCTCGGAGCCGAGAGTAACCCCTGGCCAACAGCCAGTAAAAAATGAGAAACTCAGTCCTATAATCACAAGGTCCAGAATTCTACCAATAACCTAAATGACCTTGGAATCTCCAGATACCCAGAACCTCCAGAACCCCCAGATAAAAAGAGCCTAGCCCAGCCTACACCTTGATTTTGGCCTTGTAAGACCCTAAGTGGAAAACCCAGTCAGACCTGCTGGATTTCTGTCCTATGGAACTGTGAGCTGATACACAGATGTTGTTTTAAGGTGCTAAGTTCATGGCAACTGGTTACACAGCAACAGAAAACTAATACACCTATCACAAGACAAAAATTTTATTCTTTATTCACCATCTTGTTTTTCCTAATGCAGAAAATTGCATGAAACCCACATGCAGTTGCTTAAGCCACGAACTGAAGGGTCATCCTTGCCTCTACCTTATTATTCTATCTCCCACACCTAATTATCCTTAAATCTTGCTGATTATACACTTCTGAACTATCTCTCAAATAGGTCCTCTTTTCTCTATCTCAACCTCTACTACTTTAGTCCAAGCCACCATTATTTTTTTGACTAAAGTACTACAACAACCCTTTTGCTCTCCAGACTGTTTTCACTCTTGTCCATTTCATAGGCAGAGGATCTTTGAAATGAGAAATCTGATTCTATCGTTCACCTGCTATTTAAAAAATGTGTGTGTGTGCGCGTGCGCACACGCACACATATTTCAAAGCTCACCAGATAAGATAAGAAATGTTGGCAAACCTGAAAGGCCTTCAATTCTTTGCTTACTGTTTCAGCCTTATTTCTTGACACCGTTCCCTTTGATCTCTCAGCCATACCAGACTTCTCTCATGGACTCTGCTCTCATGGACTCATTCACCTCCAGATTTTCGAAGACTCTTCATCTCTTTCCATCTACCACCACTTAACTAAATTATTCTATTCCTTCAGATCTTAGGTCAAATGGGACTTCATTAAGATCTTCTCCACTTTCAAGCACCCTTTACTCACCCTGTGCTAACACTATTACCCTTGTAATCATGTCTTTATTTGTATCTTCCCTTCTAGAATGTAAACTCTACAGAGGGTAGGGAGTTTGGCTGTCTTATTGATTGCTGTTATCTTCAGCAGTTGGTGTGTCTTGCAAAGGGCACTTAACCAGTATTTGTTGAATAAATAAATCAACCCCTAGAGATGCTCTATTAGGATGAGAGGTTTCAATAAAACCCCAGGTTAAACCACCAATGTCCATTTTTTTAGTGTAAAGATGAAAAAGAAGAGGGGAAAACAGAGAAAACCAAATATTTTACATGTGAAAATGATCTTGGAATGCATACTGAAAAAAAAAATGATTTGGAGGAACACAAATTGTAAGCAAATAATGACAAAATAATTGTAGTTCTATTATTTTTTATAATTGTAAATTTATATATATATATATATACACACACAGAGAGAGAGAGAGAGACAGAGACAGAGACAGAGAGACAGAGAAAGTAAAGTGCTCAGGACATATTTTAAAAGATTAAAGAAATCCAACTGCTATTTTTGTAAAAAAGTTTCACTCAATTCTTGGCTAAAAACTAGCTTAGCATGATAAGGAGACAAGGGTATAAAAATTAAAAATGTACTTTAGGATTTTATCCTCATTTTAATTCAAGCACTAGAATTTAAACTATTTCTAGTTACCCTGTAGCATAAATCAAACCCTATTAAAGTATTAAAATGCCATGTGTAGATAAGTGGGAGGTAACAGCATATTTTAAGATAAGCTTTTCTTCCCTAGGATTCTTTCTTCTCATGAGGAAAAAAAAGGCTACAAATTGCTTTTTAGCAGAACTCTCTTCACATTTCTATCTAATCTTTCAGACTAACACATGAAAAAACCCAGTTAAAACACTTTATGTTAAATCAATACAGAATAGAAATTTAGACGGCAAGGCATCCCATGTGTAGTTCAACTTAAAATTGCTTGTTTGGTTACAAGTCATTGTTAACTCTTACAGAATGTTGCTACAGTTTATAAACCAGACAAGCCACAATGTTTTAAGTTAGGTTTTGTTTGTTTTTCTGGGTTTGTTTTTTAAAATAAAACTGCAATAGAGATATTTTAAATTTTGTTCTCTATACAAAGCTACTTTTAAGCAGTATTTTCAATATTTATTCAGATAGCCCTCTTTTTCTTCCTATTACATTTTCACTTTGAAACAGAGGCAGAATTATTGTAGTATCTAGGTTTATGTAAATTATTAAGCTCAGTCTTTGACTTCCTCACCCTATTTGCTGAATTTTAAACTTGAAAAAGGAAAAGAATCAGTAATCTAATTTAATCTCCCATTTGCTGCAAAAATATTTGTTACCTTTCTGACCTATGCATGTATAATTGCAGTCACTGGGAAGTATTACAGTATGCTCCATTACCATTATGTTGAACTATAAATAACTATTTATTCCTTCCTTCTAAAACATCTCTTAAAATATCTAGATAATCTTTTAGATAATCTCCAGACCAAAACCCTTCAACCATTTTTAAATGACATGGTTTTCAGATCCCTTACTAACCCTGCTAGTCCATACTTATATGCAGCCCAGGTTATTATTCTCACATTTATAACAATTTTTGTGGACCCCCATATACCATAATTATTTTCAAATTATAAACATATTACTGTACTAACAGGTTATGTTCATTATAAAACACCCACTCAAAATTAATTTAAAAGGATGAAATTTAAAAATGTACAGAGTCTAGTTTTTTGTTCGCACACCCCAACTCATGTTGCATATCTCCACTTTGAGAAAACAGCTGCAGATATGGACAGATCAGCATAAAGAAGAGTACAACTACACTCTCCTTTGATCTAAAGGCTTCATGTCTGTTAATGTAGAGTAGTTCTCTTAATGCTGTTTTCCTTTTTTTTTTTTT